CCGATCTGTTTAGGGTCAAGGTTTTAGGGTTTAGGGTTCTGGGGTTTGGGGTTTAGGGTTTAGGGTTTAGGTTAATGTAAGGGCCTCATTAACATCTAGGGGCCTCAAATTAGAAGACGACTTTGGGCTGCCTTATAGCATAAATAAAATATGGAACCCTAAGGAATCACATGGATAATTATTTTACGCTTCTATTTAACTGCGCTGCTGTTAAGGAACTTAAACTAGCTTAGTATAATCAGGAAACCCAGTTATTTTACTATATATATATATATATATAAAATTTATATGTATATATGGGCAGTATTGGGTTCCTCATAGCAGCAACCCAGTCAATGCCCGAGTCTAGCATCTCGTCTCCCAGCCGAAATCGTGGTGAGGATGAAATACCTGAGCGGTAGGCTCCAACATTCTTGCGCTCTGCGCTTTGCGCCGACGAGACCGCCAGGGAAACGCAGCATAGGGGCCTGAGTAATTTCAACAGAGTGTTGGTGTCGAGAATGCCATTTTCCATGGGGCTTATAATAGGAGGAGATACGCAGCTTTCCTTGTCAGCCACTATAGTCCCTCTGTGCGATTGGCTTTTCTGCACCCCGGATAGAGTTGTTTACCCTAAACCCCTAAACCCCTAACCCCTAAACCCTAAACCCTAAGCCCTAGACCCCTAAACCCCTAAACCCCTAAGCCCTAAACCCAAAACCCAACACCCTAAACCCCTAAAGCCCTAAAGCCTCAAACGATTGAGTCGACCTCTACAGCATCAAAGCCGTCCAGTGCACGGATGTCTCGCCTCTACTCCGAGGCCCTCTGAGACAAGGAGGATGCAACGTACGTTATGCTAAGAGCCTGAATGCTTAAGGGTTCAGGGTTTAGGGTTTAGGGCTTGAGGGTTTAGGGTTTAAGGGTTTAGGATTTAGGGCTTTAGGGTTTAGGTTTTGGGTTTTGGGTATTGGGTTTAGGATTTAAGGGTCCTTATAGGGTTCTTGCACTAATACCAAGGATAAAAATCAGAATAAGCAATAATGATAATCGTGACAATGACACTAGTAATAATTACAATAATTAGTATACGAGCTAGCAAAATATGAATACTAATGCTAACACTACTACTAGAATAAACATTAGCACTAGTATACTATACTAATATCGATAGCAATTTTAATGCACATGTTAATCTTGCTGTTTCTATATATATATATATGTAATTATATATATATATATATACATATTTATAAAATTATATATATATATATATATTATCATTCCGGCTTCTATCTTCAAACGACGAGAATCTGAGTAGTGTCGGCTTTGTCTGTCTCAGGGCTTGGGATTCACCAAGTCAGACATCGTAAGCCTGCTTGGAGGGTCGGGAGACTTAGTAAGTCGGTATTAAGTAGACTTATAAGCACCCTGAAAGGGACCCTAATTCGGGTAGTACTTATAAGTACCATAAAAGGGACCCTAACTGGGGTAGTACTTATAAGTACCATAAAAGGGACCCTAATTGGGGTTATAGTACTTATAAGTACCCTAAAAGGGACCCTAATTGGGGTTATAGTACTTATAAGTCTATAAAATAACCCTCCAAGTGTTGAGGCCGCCGTTACACTCTGAGCTCCAATTGACTTTAGGTGCCGGGATGCATTACCCAAAGTACGGACCCAAATCACTTAAACTATTTAAACTCTACACCATTTTAAAGCCTAACCCCCCCCTAAACCTTCTTAAAACCTAAGCCCTGAAGCCAAACTGCCACCCCGCCAAAGCTGGTTAAACTGAAGTAACCATGAACGTGCCTTGGTAAGTCGGGGCTTAGGTAACTGGGTTGAGGGTTTAGGGATTACATAAGCCCTACTTCTATGCACAGCCGGCGACACCGTTCCTACTAGTATTGAGCGCTCGCAAGGTCAAGCCGCCTGTATTGCTACTCGAATTCTTTAAGTAGTGTAGGATACCAGGGTAATCCTCCGCACGACATCCCCAGCCCAAGCAGAAAAAAGAGAGGGTCCCTAAACCCTCAACCCTAGATCCCCTCAACCCTACACCCTAAACTCCCTGAGCCCTCAACCCTAAACCCTAAGTCCTACCTAAACCCTGAACCCTCAACCCTAAACCCTAAACCCCTCAACCCTAAACCCGAAGCCCTCAACCCTAAACCCTAAACCCCTCAACCCCTAAACCCCTCAACCCTAAACCCGAAGCCCTAAGCCCCAAAAGCCTAGACCTTTAAACCCTAAGCTCTAAGCCCCAAAAAGGGAGGGTGCAAGGGCCAGGGTTGGACCCGCTGGGAGTTGGTGTCCTGGCCGGCTTGGGACGAAGGCCAGGCCAGGGAAGGGTTCCAAAAAGGGCTCTGATAAGGGATCGTAGGTTTAGGGGTTGGGGTTTAGGGGTTTGGGTTTAGGGTTTGGTGTTTAGGTTTTAGGTTTAGGGTTTAGGGTTTAGGGTTTAGGCCAGGGAAGGATTTCCAAAAAAGGGGCTCTGATAAGGGATCGTAGGTTTAGGGGGGTTTTGGGATCTTAGGTTTAGGGGTTTAGGGTTTAGGGGTTTGGGGATCGTAGGTTTAGGGGGGTTTTGGGATCTTAGGTTTAGGGTTTAGGGATCTTGGGCTTAGGGGTTTTGGGGATCTTAGGCTTCGGGGTTTAGGGATCTTAGGCTTCGGGGTTTAGGGATCTTGGGCTTCGGGGTTTTAGGGATCATGGAGGGTCTTCTCAAGGCTCTCTCCGTGGGCTTCGCAAACTCTATTAAGGGCTTGTTGCAGGGTTTCTGCCTGCGACAGGGTACGTGTCAGGGTTTCGGGTTTAGGGGTTTAGGGTCCAGGGTTTGGGTTTTTTAGGTTTTAAGCTTTAGGGTTTCGGGTTTAGGGGTTTAGGGTCTAGGGTTTGGGGGTTGAGGGTTTAGGCTTCTTGTCCTCCTAAAGGCTGAAACCGAAAGGGAATGTAGATCCCTGCAGCTGAAGCCCTCGTCATTTTGCTCCCAGGCCCCTCGGCTGAACACCTAACGTAGGAGCCTAAATAATTGCCTATACTACTTTGGGGGGCTCAATGTCATAAGTATAGTACAATGGCCCCCCAAGCCCCATTCTGATTGTTACGGCCACTACATTACACTCTAAACGCCGAGGAGTGCGACCCAAGAAACTTCCCCCAAAGCCTCACCCTAGCCCCTCAACCCTAAAGGCTAAACCCTAAACCCTAAAGCCCTGAAGCCCTAAACCCCTAAACCCTCAACCCTGCCCTAAAGCCGTAAAGCCCTAAACCCTAAACCCTAAAACCTAAACCCTAAGCCCTAATGGCCTAAAGCCCTAAAGCTTAAACCCCGAACCGAAACCTTTGACTTCATAGCTGAGCCCTCAACCTTAAAAGTCCCAGAAGCCCTCAATCTAGGCCTTATAGAAGGTCTATATACCTTATGGAAGCCTTATGGAAGCCCTGTATACCCTAAGCTCCCTACCTGTAGTGTCCTTTAACTCAACCCTGAACGCGAAGCCCTAAACACCATGGCAACCTTGACATTAACCGCTTAACCCAAAGCTCTAAACCTAGGATGTTCAGTCGTGTCCCTTTTTTATTTTTTTGGCTCCTAATACAATATAACTAACCCAAAAAAGTATATACTTTTCCCAGTTGGTTCCTAAAAAGCTCAGAAACCCCTATAGTCACCTTCAAAGGTCCCGTTGAGAGGGAACCCGTTTGAGGAACGCCCCGGTTCCATGTTACAATGAGAGTATTTGGGGTTTAGGGTTTGGGGTAATACCCAAGCTCAACCCCATTCATTTTTTCAAGGCACTTGTAGCAAACCCTTACAGGAACCCAAAAAGCCCTGTTCAGATCCCCCTAAACCCTAAACCCTAAACCCTAAACCCTAAGAGCCCTCAGGGCCCTTATTCTTTCGTGGCCGGGGGCGAGCCGACGGTCATGGGGCGGCAACAATCACAAGAGCTCGCCTGG